ACCTCCTTGTTACAACAAAGACTGAAGTGAATTAAGACTTTAAGACTTGTAAAAACTGCTAAACCACCTTACCACACTCCTAAATTTCAACAAGATATTTAAATAAGACTTTGCCAAAACCTTTTGACCTCCATAAGTGATCAAGACAGAATTTCTCCTTTCAACATCAGTACAATATTAAACACACAAGTTATGAGAAAATGGAAAAGTACAAATAAGGGATTATCAGTCAATCCAATGCCAAATTCTCCAAACTAACCACATAAGAATTGTACAGTAGACAGTAAAGAGAATTACAATATCTTGGTGGTGAAAGGGTTGACCAAGAGAGCCTATTTGGGAATGAAATTACATACAATAATGTCAAAAAGAGGTTCAAACCTGCTAAGTGCCCAGAAATGAGGATCTTGAATGCTAAACACATCATCCATTTGATTCACCTGTTAAATGCGTAAAGAAAATAATCAATGAATATAACCAGTGTATTTATTATGAGTTCACTTAAAAGGCAAATTTACATGTTACAACAAAATAGTTTTAAAAATATTTCTTCTCACTCACCCTTTGGTAAGCAATATGGACATTCTTTTCCAAACCAACTGGGATTCTCTGCATTAATATTCCGACAGAATCTTTCAATAGAGGGATTACACTACAGACACAAAAGAAAACTGGTCAAGTTCAAAATATATGTATTTTGTGATTCAGGGCAACTTACATCAGAAGTGATTGACTGTCAGTAGAAGATTTTCAAATAAATTACTATTTTTACAATTGCTATTTTTTATTTTTTACCTGAAGAAAATAAGAACTGAAATAAACATGGAACATATGGGATCAGCCAACATCCATCCTATTAAAAGAAAGGAAAGCTTTCAGATTCATGACATATTCACCAAAAATTGTCAACCACTTTTAAACAAAATACAAAGTTGGGTATATTTACCTATTCCTAGACATTGACCAGCTTAAATTATACACTAATTTTGTATCCCAAACCATGCTTGATTGGCAATCATGAGATGCAATATTTTTTAGCAAAAAAGAATGGATGTGTTTTATCTTAAAGCACTCTTGCCTTTAGCCACATTTAGCAACATTGCTTCACCTCTCTCCTTCTAAACCCATGAACCCTTTAACTCCCAGATCAAATTTGTGATTCTCCTCACTGTCAACCATACAATTCTTATAATTTTAGTTCAGAGAATTTAGTATGGGATAAACTGATAATCCCCAAATTTATATTTTTCTTAATTCTCATCTCTTATCTGGTTGATATTGTATTGGTATTGTAATGAGAAATTGTGTCTTGGCTACCCATGGGAGTTTAAGGGTTAACTTTCAGAAGTGATTTACATGTAACTTATTTCCTTATGATATCCAAAAACCTTCAAGCAAACAGGTAGTAAGATAATCCAATTTATCAGGTAGAGGTTGATATCTTGATCTAACACCAAATTCTCACTAACAATTCAAAAGGAAATGTGTACCAACTAGAAGGGAGAATTAACAATCAGATCTTGGGAGTTAAAGTTTTAAAGGGGGATTAGTAAGTCAGTCAGATGTTTGCAAACTTTTGCAGCTTAGGAATTTTTTTGAAAAGATCAGGACACAGTTCACTGTTAGAGATTTTCACAACTTACCAAACTGATATATAAGTCCAGCTGATATAATTACACCTACACTTCCTAATGTGTCTGCTAATACATGAAGGAAAACTCCTGTATGAAAAAACAACAAGACACAGTCAATTGAACAGTATAAAGAGGGTCACTTTCTAAAGAAACTATGGCACTGCATTGGTGGGGGATTTATGTGGTTTAAAAAGATTTTTAAAAGCTGATGTTTTGAACATTAGCCTTTTGTCAGAGTAAGAGAAAGGGACAACAAAAAGCAGTTACAACTGAGATATAAATCCTGCTGACTAACATCTAATTTCTCTTAATCACTGCTGAATCGCACAGTAAAGTCATAGGAATAAAAGAAACAATTGCCAATGATAGAGGGTCTCAACTTTTAAACAAATTCTCATTGTGAGTGTCACAGGAAATGTGGAGAGAACAGTGTGGAGAATATACAAACTGATGATAAGGTGAACATCACAGGGACCAAGTTAAGTTACAGTGAAAATTTCCTTTATGTACATGTAACAAGGAGAAATTTAATGGCTGCATCAATAACACACACCACAGCAACTTGTTTTGAAAGCAGTTCACAAGAAGTGATAAATTATGACATGTAACAGCAATTTGTCTCTACATTTTTCAGCAGATTAAGAAAACAGACATGTGTAAGAAGATCTGTTGCACAAAACTGCAAAGAAACAACCCTTAAAGTAAGCAACACTGTAAAAAGAATGCCACCAATTTTTATACAGCATAATACATATGAAAAATAAACAAAATGAGTGTTTCAACTTTCTCTCCTGTGATAAAGAGTTTTTCAAGTTCTGTGGTAGAATAATTGGGTGAACTCAATTAGTCTTAATTTTTCTTAATTTTTTCCTTTCTTTTTTCCAATCATATTTGAGTATTTTCTTCCTCTTACCTTCCATTATTTTACTTTGGGAAACTTCCACTTTTCCTTCCTTGTCTGAACAACCTGCATGTAAACAAAGGAGACATCAGGAGAAGCTCATCAATAATAACAATTTTTTTTAGTTAATAATAACCATCACAATCAGAACTGTAACAAATCTTGAACATGAGTGGTTATCACAAGCCCAATTTGAGTACTTATGGGACAGTGAATGTGTCATGTAATTGGACATTGTAGTAATTAGGCAGTATTACTTTATCCCAAGCCTTGAGTAATTGGACAGTACACATCATGTGCAAAGATCATGCACATTACACAGAGTTAAATGGTGTCTTTTTTCCTATGAAAAAATTTTACTGACGGCTCGTTTATTTCTCAGATGTTGTCATAGTTAAGATTAATTGGCAACTGGACTTCAACACTTCCAGATACCAATTTCTAAATTAACTGATTAATTAATTCAATGCTTCCAATTCTGTCCATAATCATACCCATAAATAACAAATCACTCTCATGATTTACCTCCTTCACACCCAGGAGTGACCAACAAGGACAGTTTCTCCTTACAATATCCATACACACACAAGAAAATATCAGCAATTGAAGGAGAAATTGCCTGATTTAACATCAAATTCTCAGAATTAGAATCATAAGCAGCATTGGGGGACAGGAACAGAGAATTAATATCGAGATTGTGTTAGTGAAAGGGTTAAGACCAAATTGGACTTGACTGAATCCTATTACCGTTAATTATATCATTGTAAAAAATGATTTGTGCTTTGTAAATTTAGACATTTGTTTGCAGTTATAGTCTGTGTTTCAGGCACTTTGGTACCTGAATCATGTGAATGGTTATGTCCACCATTCATGTGGGAGTGTCCATGTGAATGGCCATGAGAGTGTCCATGGCCATGACTGTGTCCATGTTCATGGCCACCGCCATGTGAATGTCCATGCCCACCGCCATGTGAATGTCCATGCCCTCCACCATGTGAATGTCCATGCCCTGTGAAGGGGAAATGTATATATCACATTTAATCCTTTGATCCCTAAGAGTGACCAGCATCTAATTACTCATTATAAAATCACCCCTAAATCACACATTAAGGTCATGAGAATAAAGGATATGATCATCAACTAAAGAGGCTCTTGACTGTTAAACAAATTCTCACTGTCGTGATGTACCTTTGAAATGAATGGAGAATACAGATACTGATGTTTAGGCGTAAAGGGTTAACTCTTTAATCCCTAAGAGTGACAAGGTTCTAATTTCTCCTTGCAATATCATCTCTGAATAAAAGGTTTAAGTAATGAGAATAAAGGAAAAGATCAGCTGGTGACTAATAAAGCGCTTGATGGTTTTACAAATTCTTCCTGTTAGAACCTAGGAAATGTATAGAGAATAGTATGGAGAATATGCATAATGATCTTAGGTTGTAAGGGGTTAACCCATAGGAGTGATGAAAATATGGGTTTTGAAGAGATGACAGCCTTTTTGCTGGAGGTGTTTGCTTTAAGATTGTATGCCAACAACAACCCACCCTATCCTCACAAAAATTGTCTGTTGACTGCATCACCTTTTCCCCACAAAAGGAAGTTCAAACAAACCCTACGATCCAATTAAATTCCCAATAACAGCATCATCGTTGAACAAAAACCCAAAACCTTAAAATGAAAGTGTATCCATAAGTTACTTTATTTCTCTCCCAGTTTTGTGTCCTCAAAAAAAATTTGAAGATGCTCAGGAAACCAAGCGATTAGTTCTGAGCCCAGGAAACTTCTGGATAATCTGAGAGAGTTTACATACATTGTAAAGATTACTGTAAAATAGTTCCAATTCATAAGTGACTGAATCACGACAACATAATTTTTTGATTGCCATGGTATCATATTTATAGGTCAAGAGGTCTACAATTGGGGCCATAATTTTAATAAACCATTATCATTAAGAAAATTCTTACCTGCTGCACCTCCATGATGAAAGACAAAAATACCAACTAGATTAACAAAAAATCCTAGAACTGAAACAACAAACAGCCTCTCATGTTTAACCTCTGGAGGGTGAAGAGCTCTCTAGAAGTAAAAAAAAAATATGTTTAATGTTAAAAATTAACAAACCAATGCAATGTTACAGGTGTTTTATCATTTAAGATTGGATGTACCTTATCCTTTTCATATAGCAAAGTCCTATCATATTTAATTTACTATCAAGTAAAACTTTTCACCCCTGGAGTGAATATCATCTAATTTGTCCTTATAATATTGCAACTGAATCAAATATTACATTCACAAGAATAGAGGTAAGGGTCATCAACAAAAGAAGCTCTTACTTCCTAAATTATTGAACAAATTCTCCTTATCATCACCTTTGAAAATGTATAGAGAACAGTATAGAGAATATACATGTTGATAGGAAGGTGTAAAGGGTTAGAAATATTTACCTCTACAGCTTCAGATAAAATAAAGAATGCAATAAACACCAAAAATAATCCATTCACAAAACCAGCCAGCACTTCAGCTCGTCCATACCTGGATTACACAGGAATCAAAACAACATTTATCAATTTTAGAAAGAGAAAAGTAAAAGGTGCACTGACTATGGTTAGCTTCAAAAGGTACTAACTCCTTACTGCTCACCCTGTCCTACCTTACACCTCCCCCTTCCCCCTTGCCCCTAACCCTTACCTCATGCCCCTTACTCTCTATACTGGCTGTCAATCAAATACTTCTCTTATATGCTGAATAATACCAAGACTACACATGTTCAGCTTCATGATGCGATAAAGGATACTCTGGCAGGAACACCATTGACAAAATGACACTGAATCAAAGAACTTATTTATACAGCAAGCACTGGTTTCCCTCAAGGGCAACTCAGAGGGCTCACAATACAGTAACATAAGTAAGAGAGAGAGAGAGAGAGAGGCTGTTTTAAATGCAATTTCTGTTCCTCTAAACTGCTTCACCAGTTCTATTACAAACCTTACTTATAAAAAAAAATCATCAATCTTACTGTAGGATGAAGGTAATAATTTTAAACTAATAAAATTGCATAAATCAGAGCTTGAATGAAACCAAACAAAGACAACAGAGGCTTTATATTGAAGATGGAATTCACTGCTTTTTTCAGGTAATTCATTTAGTCAGTGACCCTTGTAACAGCAAATGTATTGTATGTTTTACAAAAAACTCCATGCTGCTAAGCAACCCCTCTGATTTCCAGATGTATGTCACAAGTACTGTGCAATGTAAGATTGCCCTCCCTACACGGTCCATAATTTATTATACCCTGTGAGTGCTTAAGGTTGATTTCCATTGAGTAAACCATAATTGAATATAAACCCCCCCCTCCTCTCCCCTCCTCATGCTTTTTAATCTTTGTTGTCCGTTTCCTCCATAATTTTTCTATTTTCAATGTCATGTGTTTCTGGCCCAATCATAAATAAATCATCACACTGTACTTTTTGCCTCACCATTAATTACAATAAAAAATAGTCACACACAAGACAACTGCTTCTGTATAAAAATGTGGAAAAAAATTAAACAACACAAAACTGGAAAATTATATTGTTGCACCATTAGTAACAGTAAGATTTGAATTAAAAGCACATTAACAGAGCTAATTACCCATAGGAAAATCTTTCATTTTTTCCCCATTTTGCGATCACTGATGCTATGAGCCCCGCCAAGAGTGCAGTACAATCGAAGAACATATGAAATGAATCTGAGATCAGACCAAGACTGAAAGAAAGATCAACATTCATCGTAAACTTCAATGGATAATAATAATAAAAATAATAATAAAATTCGAATCCATAACAGAAGGATACTTGAGAAATCGCTCACCTATTCGTCCATATCCCGTAGGTCAATTCCACAAACGCAAACGATAGGTTAAGAAGAAGGAAGAAGAACAGATTTCTCGAGCCCTCGCTTGAGAGTATGGCCCTAAATAGATATATTACGCGAAAAAGTTAACATGGATGAACACATGGTTATCGATTTCAGTGCAATCGACGACAACAAAAGCGCTTTCAGATCATCGTACTTTATCCATTCAAACAAACGCGATTTAAGCTTCACTCCTGGTTTGAAATCGTCACTTTTAAAACCGTCTTTGCTGGTTAATGGAAGCATGCCGATATTAAAATTCGTACTGAGGATTGCATCTGATCACAACACTGCCGGCTTCAAAGATACGTGGCATTCGCTCACTTCCTGTCATTTCCCATTGGCTGATGGGATATATGTTTGCCTTTTAATGCGTTTCCAGCTTGCGCTACCACAGGTATCCCAAGATCACGTCCTGAGAGAAAGGTACATTGGCCTGTAAGAACAGAACAGAGTTACAAAACCTACAACACAAACACAAACTTAAAACAGAATCACAAAGTCCGCAACACTAACACAAAACTCTACAACACAAATACATACTTAGAACAGAATCACAAAATCCGCAACACTAACACAAAACTCTACAAAACTTAAGTTTGTGTTTGTGTTGTAGAGTTTTTTGTTAGTGTTCCGGATATTGTATTTCTGTTTTAAGTTTGTGTTTGTGTTGTAGAGTTTTGTGTTAGTGTTGCGGATTTTGTGATTCTGTTTTAAGTTTGTGTCTACGTTGTAGAGTTTTGTATTAATGTTGCGGATTTTTTTATTCTGTTTTAAGTTTGTGTTTGTGTTGTAGAGTTTTGTATTAATGTTGCGGAATTAAAATTCGTGAAAGCGTCACGCGTTGTGTGACTTTCACGAATTAATGTTTGCTTTCTTTTTTGAGACGTGAGCTTGGTAACCTGTGACCTCACAACTGTAGTTTCAACCAGACAGATTAGTCAAGCTTTGGTTCTTTGTTCAAGTAAGTGTCAGGCCTATTTTCATCGCAGGTTTTAACTTTTTTGTTTTGTTTTGTTAACTCCTTTTCATAAGTACCTTCAGTTTTCCATGACATTAATGATCATCAAAGTTTTCATTCAAGTACGTCCGCGTGCGTCAATGAAGAGAAATATATTTGTAAATATATTTAAATAAGTAAATATAGAAATATATTTGTATTTATAAATATATATATACTTGAATTCTTAGCCAAAATGGAACGTAATTATGTATTTTACGTTTCCGATTATTTGATGCGCCCCTTATAGAAAGGTCAACCGTTTTCATTTTATTTTGGAACGAAGGATAAGAATATCGATGCAATTCATGCCACGTGACTCGACGTCTGACGGTTGAAAATGACTCGATCGTAAATTTTGTCTCTTTACGTTGTTCTAATTGAAGTCTATGTACTTCAAACAAAGCCTTTAGGGTGTGTGTTGTTTAGTTTGTTGACTATTTATTGCGGTTGGGGAGTATTTATTAAATGAATGGCACTTGCCATTGCATAATTTTAATCAGGAGTCTAACAACGTAGCTAAGTGAAGCATTGTGGGTAGTTTGGAAACAGAGGAAGTTGTACTTTACGAAGTGAAAGTCGATAAGGAACTAGAAGCTTGTAGTAATTTTTTTTTCTTTACCGACTATCTTCTTTGTTAGGCCAAAACACACATATAGCCCAAGTTTGGTTAACTCACTGCGTAACCACACGTCAATAGCTGCCCAAATTGCTCATCTTAGGTATGAAAAACTAAAGAGGGACAGAAAATAACCAAATATATGTTGAAATCAATTAAAAAAAACAAAACAAAAGGGAAATGAGCACCCATTAAAAAAGAGCTCTTGATTGTTAAACAAATTCTCCTTGTCAGTACATAACAAAGTGTACAGAGAACAGTATAGAGAATATTCACACTGATGATGGGGTGTAAAGGGTTAAGTGAATTATCTTCTTCTGTCACCAGTCAGGAACTCAGTTACCATGTCACTTTTCCGACAAAGATCAACATCATGTAGCCGTTTGAAGGAGATATTTCTATGTCCTAGAAGTTCCAGGTAAATTCCCTAACCCTAAGCAATATTTTTTCAAATCAAATTATCAAAACTTTGTTGCTCACCTCTGTGATAACTACCCTGTGTTCTAATGCAGGATATTTTACTTTTACAGTGCCCCTTTACACCAATGATTATGAAAATTAAATGGTTGTTGGCAAAGTGTTGGGAAAATGATTTTCCCAACACTTTGTGAATAAATATCTATTCACTTTGTGAATAAATATCTGGCTGAATCATTGTGTTGTGAGTTTTTGGGCAAGATACACTTTTACACTTTGGCTCTTTTCACCCAGGAGTTAACCCTGTAACTCCCCAGATCTGATTGTTAATTCTCCCTGTAGCTGCTACACATTTCCTTGTAAATAAGTTATGAGAACTTGGTGCTAGATCTAGATAGCAGCTTCTACCTGATAAGTTTGAATATTCTCATTACCTGTTTGCTGAAGAATGTATGGATATTGAAGGGAGAAGTTTTATGTTAATCACTTCTGGGAGTTAAAGGGTTAAACTGGGTACTGGTGATATTTGAGGGGCAGGAGGGGAAGAAGTAATATTCCTTGTCACTTTAAATAATGGAAACCAAGTTAAGCTTTGGCTGGAGAAGCTGCTTGGCCCAAGTTCATACTTGCACTTCTGTACTCTTTTCTGATTTTTTCTTAACAGCTGGACATACTCTGATTCATGTTATTTTTATCTCTTATTGTCAGTGGTTGGTTGAGAACAAATGTAACACAACCTAAGAGAAAGATAAGTTCTAATGCAGCATACTTGACAAGATCTCAATACTATTCAGCCATTGGTACCTTGGTAGGGACTCTGACTGGAGTTGGACTCATCCTCAATAAACAAAAGGTGGATAGACTATGATTATTGCCTTAATAAAAATCAATAACATAATCATTATTATAAAAATTGTTATACTGGTAATGGCTAATCATTACCGGTACAACAATAATTTTTATGATAATAAAATCAGGGAGCTGCAGTGTAGTGTTGTCATAAGAAGCTAGTAATGGAAACCTGTTGGCTGTTGGACCATTTTGCTCTGGCTACTTTGTCAATTGTGATTGAAGACACAAACCTAGTATTTTTAACTGGTTCTATCATGATATCTGGCTAAAAAAAATTACATATTAATATATCCCAGAATGCTGGAAATAACATCTCAGAGAGTTTCAAATTTCATATTTTCCAGGGTGAGATTCTCCCCAGACCATCCAGGAAAGACCTGTTGCTTTGCAACATGCTATGCTTGCTACACAAGCATAATTCAACTCATTCACTCTTAATGCCCTAAATGTCACATCTTAAACTCTTAACCCTTTAACTCCCATGAGTGACCGAGACAGAATTTCTCCTTACAAGATCAATACAATATCAATCAGATAAGTGATGAGAATAAAGAAAAATATCAATTTGGGAATACTTAGTTGATCTAATACTGAATTCTCTGAACTAACATCGTAAGAATTGTATGGTTGACAGTAAGGAGAATTACAAATGTGATCTGGGAGTTAAAGGGTTAATGGTGGCCAATTCAGGTTGTCAGCTCAATTAATAATACCAAATCACCTTGTTGTACTCTCCTACCAATGCACCACCACAGTTTCTTGTATTGGGAACTTGCCCTCTTTATAATCAACTCAGCCAAGTACTCAGTTCAAATCATAAATTTCTTACATCTTCTGATGACAACTCTGCAGAGGCGTAGAAGTTAGCACTGGACATGCTTTGAAGAGATGGAGTTGTGAGACTTAGCAGGGTCATTTTATTTTGCGACATGGGCATTCTGGCATAAATCTTTACATATTTTTTCCACAGATTTCTCAAGCCAAAGAAGCAGCAAAGTCCCTTGGTCAACCATCACAGGACAAAGATCCTGTTTATTCTACAGAAGAGGTTTCTCAACACAATAGCCATGAAAAAGGAATCTGGGTGACTTACAAAGGAAACGTGTATGATATTACAGACTTTGTTGCTAACCATCCTGGAGGGTCTGAAAAGATAATCTTAGCTGCTGGTGGAGCTCTGGAACCATTCTGGGCTCTTTATGCTGTGCACAATAATGAACATGTGTTGGAACTTTTGGGAGAATATCGCATTGGTTCTTTGTCCAAAGATGAAAGTTCTATTGAAGCTGTAGATATCAAAGTACGTAGAAAGTATGTGGAAGGATATATTGATCATAGCATGAACTTGAATTTAACACAGCCCATGTCAAAGAAGCTTCATTTTTTTCCCAGTTGTTAAGTAATATAATATTGTATGTATTAAGCCATCTTCACTCCTGCTGGTGAGCATAGGGGATTGACCATGAATCTTTACCAGACCCTGTTTTTGGCTGAATATTGTATAAACAATCCAAAATTCAGAGTTTAAGGGATCACTTCACCAAGTGAGTGAAAAGAAGATTTTATGATTTTTTCATTTTCCAACTTCCTGAAATGCATCAGTCTGGACAGTGGTTAACATGAAAAGTGGAAAACCTAGAATTTCTCCATAGGGAAAAAAACAGGAGAACTCCATATCTTATTATCCAGACACTTGTGCTTAATTCTGTGGTTCAAAGCTGAATTTTTAATTGCTGCAGTTGGCCTATTTATGTGTGCATGCAGATAACTGATAGTTACATCACTGTGTATTTTTAGGATCCTTACATAACCGATCCACCTCGTCATCCTGCCTTGAAGGTCAACACTAAGAAACCTTTCAATGCTGAGCCACCTTTGCAGCTCCTGTCAGACAATCTCATCACCCCTAACGAGATCTTTTTCATTCGCAATCATCTTCCAGTTCCAGACATTGATGAAACCAAGTATGAGTTAGAGATTACTGGTGAAGGAATTAAACCTGTGATGCTCTCTCTTGAGGTAATTTGCAGATTAATTCAGTGATCAGTTTCCACAACGTGACTTAAAACAGTAACCCAACAAGAAAATGAAGGGGTGCCTTGAATAAGTTTTGATGCAGTGTCACCTTCTCCCTCTGTTTGACATTGGAAAACAGGAAAATTTGTTAAGGGAATCCAGTACTCTGTAGAAAGTCACCAAGAGTGCTTTTCCATGTGTGTCCACTTGACTTTAGTGTCCTTTGCAGCCTTTCTTTGGGATGACACACAGCACTCACCCCCACCTGAGAGCATTGTGTCTTCCCTTAGCTCACTGATAACAGCTCTTTCCATGCTTTACAATCAACTGCCTTCAGTTGGTGAAAAAGAAACAAATTGTGGAGGATATAGAGATCTGACCCTTCCCTGTTATTATCAACATAGCAAGCCCTTAAATACAGAGAAGATGCTGTTGTGGGACTTCTCTCCACCTTATCTGAAACCTTCCCCCACCACCCCTCCTCTCTTTACTGGGATATCCTAGGTATACCCCATGTTACAATTTTTTTTACCCTGGAGTGGAAAAAATTGTCTTAGCTCTTTACACCCTAATATCAGTATCCACATTCTCTGTACTCTTCTCAGTACATTTCCTTTTTTACTGACAAGGAGAATTTGTTTAACAATCAAAGCTTATTAGGTTGATGATCATTTCTTTTATTCTCATTATCTAAGTGAATGATTCAGCAATATTACTGTAAGGAGAAATTAGATGCTAGTCTCTCTTAAGTTTTAAAGGGGTAAAAGTAGTTCTGCAGGCTTGTTTCTTATTTTCGATCAATTAAAACAGTGTTCTGATTTTTTTTAGGACTTAAAGACCAAGTTTCCGAAGCGTAGAGTAACTGCAACAATGCAATGCGCAGGGAACAGAAGAAGTGAAATGAATCGGATTAAACTGGTGAAAGGCCTTAACTGGGGAGCGGCAGCTATTAGCACTGCTGAGTGGACAGGTGTTCTCTTGAAAGATGTATTGAGGTATTATGTCATGAAGAGTTCTTTAGAAAATTGTGCTCGCGTGGGAGGACACGAGTCTCGAGAACAATTACTCACTTCAACATCAGACGGATAGGAGACGCGGTAGCGTGATGGTAGACCTCAGGGGGAGGGGGTACCTGGGTCAATAATTGCATGGGATGTGCTCCTGGCCTCTCAGAACATCTTCCCTATCATAGCCTATTCTCTGACCGATTATAGATCCCATCTTAGTCACTTTGGGCACATAAAACTACATTTAAACAGCAATTCTTCCCAATTTTGAATCTCTACTTACCACAATTTTCCTAATGAGGACCCCAGTCTAGTAACTCTACTGAAAATAAAACCCAGTTAAAAACAATTTCCACCTGATAAGTTTGAGTATTCTCATTACCTGTTTGCCGGATCATGTTTGGATATTATAGGGAGAAGTTACTTGTTAATCACCTCTGGGAGTTAATCAACTTAGAGTACCATTTGATCAGCGACAAAAATCATATCTCTTATTTCTGCTGCCTTTTCATAATTTTTTTTAAAATAAATTTTAATTTCATTTGATTTTGATTTACAATTTCCTTTCATCCTTAAAAAAAGGCGTAACCTTTATAGTTTTATGTACATAACTTCCTTCCAACCTTGATTTGGAGTGTCAGTCCAAGATGCTGCCTGAACTTGTGAAGTACTCACACTTGACCAGACAGCGACAGCGAATAGTTATTTTTGTAGCGGCTATTTTTGTAGTGAGCTCTGATCGGCTACTCGAACTCCGAATACCCCTCGCTTTTTACCTTCGAACAACTCCACTTCGTTGAATAAATATTAACTGTTCATCGCATTATAATTTTCCTTCGTTTTGGTCGCTATTTTTAGGTACGCGGGAGTCGATGAAGCATCTGTTCAGAAAAATGGGGTACAACACATTCAATTTGAAGGAGCTGATCATGACATAACCGGCTCTACCTATGGGGCCTCTATACCCGTTGACAGTGCGCTTTCTTCAGAAAGAGACGTACTTGTAGCTTACGAAATGAACGGGGTTCCTATTCCCAGGGATCACGGCTTCCCCGTACGACTTGTAGCACCGGGGGTTGTGGGTGCCCGTAACGTAAAATGGTTGAGGAAGATTGTATCCAGTAAAGAAGAAAGCTCGAGCCATTGGCAGCAGAATGATTACAAAGGATTCTCCCCGACAGTTGACTGGGATACCGTCGACTTTAAGTCTGCACCCGCCATTCAGGAGTTGCCTGTTACCTCAGCCATCTGTGAACCAGCAGAAGGCGCCGTCGTCTCGGCGAATGACGGAGAAATCTCACTCAAAGGGTATGCATGGAGTGGCGGAGGTAAAGGCGTTGTTCGAGTAGACGTGTCACTGGATGGCGGTAAAACATGGCACGTTGCTAACCTAGATGGAGAGGACAAGCTTCATCGAGCGTGGGCCTGGAAACTGTGGAATGCCACTCTGCCCCTACCAGAAGGGAAGGACGCCCTGCAGATCTGTGTCAAAGCTGTAGACTCGTCCTACAACTCACAACCCGACAGTGTTGCTCCCATTTGGAACTTACGAGGAGTGTTGTCCAACGCTTGGCATAGAGTTAATATCACAGTCAAACAGGATTCGCAGGAATAGGAGAATGATGATGGATAGTACTGGACGTCAAACGTCACCCGGTCGTCGATAATGAAAATAATAGCAGATTTTGTATTTTTTTTTCTCAATTCTTTTGCGTTTCTTGGTAATGCTCGGTAGCTCTTTATGTCTACTCTTACGTTAAAATGTAAATATCAGGCAGTCGAAAAGCTGCCAGATCTTAACCCAGTTTCGATATCTTACGAGCAGGTCCTCTTTAATGCGAGCGTTACAATGCTGAGTTGTCCCAACTGGAAATAATAGTTTATTACTTATATAGCGCAAAATACATGTGGATATGATCTAATGCGCTAGTAAATTTAACCTTTCTGGTATCGAGAACTTTATCATCATCGTTGTAATCACTATCCGGTCTGTTTTAGCGTGTGTGTGCGTGTTTTTTTTTTTCGTCGAAGGTTGAAGGAAAACTTTAAAAGTCCTGGAAGACTACATTATTTCAATCCAGGCCTACTGAATTTGAATATGGGGCATAGGAAGAGGCTTATTGACGGATTTTTTTTTCAGTGAACATCGAAATAGAAAATAATTTGTCGTAGACATTGTTTTGTCATAATACTGGAAACAACTTCCTGGTCTTGGGTCATAGTAAACAATTTACAAAAGTTCGAGTTAGTAGTCTGAGAATTTTATATTTTCAAAAGAGTACGAACTGTAGTTAATGTTGTCTTCCCCATGTCACTTTTGGGAACTGTATGGATAGCAATAACCATAACTAAATTTGCTTTACTTACGGAAAGTTTATTTCCCATGACAACGCTGTTTCTGTTTTGTTTCGTTGCCAAGTAATGGTAGAAGTTACGGCTGACAAAACTTGGAGCTTTGACGTCGTTGGAAGCTGAGTTTTTTTCTTTCTTCAAATGATGACGTCATTAGAGGGGTCCCGCGTTCACAAAAAAGGTCGATGATCGCAATTCATGCCAAGTTGATGTTCGTTTATGGAACCATAACAACAACATAGGATTATGTCGCAAAGAAATGGTTCTTCTCAATATGACGTCATTAGAGGGTCGACGATCGCAGGTCATGCTAAATTTGATGTTCGTTTCAGGAACCATAGCAACGACATAAGATTATGACGTCAAAGAAATGGTTCCTCTCCGGTCATGACGTCATTACGGTGGTCTTGAGGTAACGGAAAAGGCCGATGATCGCAAGTCATGCTGAGTTTGATGGTCGTTTCAGGAATCATAATAACAACAAGGTTATGCCGTCATCAAAAAGGTTCTTCGAGAGTGAAAACGTTTACATGGGACTAAACGGCCAAACGGGAGAATGTAGAGAATTACAATTTTTTTTTTCTGCCTCTCCCTCTTCGTATTCTTTTTGTACTCACGTGCTGCGCGTAATTTCACAAATTAGCCAATCAAAGAACTCTAAACTTGACATTGGAGAACTGACCAGGAGATTTTTCGCGTACTTTTGTTGTTTGTTTTCTCAGAGTTTAGTTGGTGCTTTTGTGCTTTCGTTCGCGCAAATTTGTTACCCCTTTGTTTAGAATTTTAAGACGTTTCGTAGCTTTTATTTTAGCCAAATGTTGTGGTTCATTTAATATGTTTCATACATATTTCCTACGGAGTTTGGACTCAAGCCTCTTTTTTTCTCAAAATTATTTTTTTATAGCAGCTATCAATTCCAATGACCAAGGCAAGTGAACTTGCAAGCGCAACTCATAAAAGAACGAAGATAACGTAAAATCCACTTCTTTAGTTATTTGTATGACGCCGTTTTGATGATGACATTCAGTGACGTCACAAAAAATATGTAAACTCAAATGGTAACCCAGGTGACGAAAGTAACACACACCTACGTTTTTGACCACTGAGTTTCTTCTCATCCTCAAAGAGACGCAGAACAGAGTTTTTTGCTCTCCAGAATCAAACTCATTCTCTTCGAGTTAGCATCAATGATGGATTACAGTACGACAGAGGATCTGGACAAGCCAGGATTGTTTAAAGAGGGCAGGGAGCAAAAAGGGACCAAAAAATCTCAAGAAAAATCCAGTCGAAAGATCCAGCTTCGTTTTGTCACCAATGAGATGTTAGAAATATATCAAAAAATGAGCGAAGAAGAAGAAAAGTTTAAACAGCAATATGAAGAGGCTGCCTTCATGGTATATGGAACACTACCCAAAGGGAAGGTGTCTTTTGATGTTCAACTCAAGATGAGTGAAATACACAAAAACTAGAATTCGAACTTCCTGATCAGAACAAATTGTGCAAACGATACCTAATAAACAATAAAGGCATTATATTGTGGGCCGGGTGTAATAGAAGTCAGGAACTTGAGCGCTGTTATTTTGGATGAGTGATTTGATATTACGTGGCGGAAAGGGAACTCAAGGCCAGAACAGAAATGGAAAAAAACAATCGGTAATTGCTGTTTTTTTGTTTTTTTGTTTTTAATATTTCTTGAGCATGTGTCTCTTTGGTCTGCAGATTGCCGGTACTGAGAAGATAAAAAAAAAATGAAACCATGAAATTTATTAACCCGAAGAATATCTTGTTCGAAAAAAAATTTATACATTAAACAAATTGATCGATCATCAAGAATTTTTTTATTTGTCTCCCCAATTCGGCCAGCTGTCGGCGTGCTCCCACTCTTTATTGTCTCGTACCAGACCTCCCACGGTCAAGCGATGGTAAAAAAACATCAATTCACACCAATAGGCTATAGTCCAACTCCGTTTAACTTATTAAATTATGCACAATATTTAGCTTAAATAAGGACTTGAAACTTCTTAAATTCCCAAACAAAGGGGTAACAAAAGGCTCAGAAATTAAAACCGATTCCGAAATACAAACAACAGAAATACGTCCAGTGTCCTCGTCAGTTTCCATTTTCAAGGTTTCAAAAGACGTCGCGCGCAAATATAAAACAAAATACAAAAGTGGAGTCGCTTGAAAGACACAAGGCTAAGAAATTTTTAACACGATACGTGGTGTTGGCTCTAGACCAGCATAGTTAGGGACTTCCCATCATTCCTTGCCCACCTGATCCATCGCGTTGGTTTTACATACGAGATTACTCTCAACATACCAACATGGCCGTGTCTCAAAAAGACAAGAAAAAACCAAATTTAAGGAATTGATTGACTGATATCCTCTGTATTTACATATTTTTCTTACCTCGAATGGCAATTTTTAAAGCCTATACGCTCTAACATTAAGTATGCATATTCTCCATACTGTTCTCTATACGTATATTAAGATGCTGAAAAGGAGAATTTCTTTTTATTCCTGAAACTTTAATTTTTTATTCATGGGTGACATTGCAAGGAGTAACTAGATAACTCTTACGTCAAAGGATTACGATGCAACATCAACACGAAATTTGATAAAATTTGCGCAAATTAAAACTTAATCAGAAACATTTAACGCGAAATATAAATACGCTGAATGTCATAATTTAATGATAAAAAGAGAAAACCAGTTGAACTTAAACTTGGTATAAAATGGTTTTGCAAACAGCCTGAGAGTTTGTTTCTTGGTAGAGAGTTGTTAGGGAGGAGAGTGTGAGGAGATTGCCCTTCGACTAAATTCACCTTTGCAGAATTTAAAAAAAAATTAACTGTACACTAAAAAAAGTGTCGAAAAACGCGTCGCACACAACGATTCCTTCATTTTCTAATTTTATTTACAATTGTTCGAAAAAAAGCTATGCTCTACAGCTCAATACGTATGTTCTTTCAAATTAATTTGCTTATATTCGAATATAACTTCTATACTTCGTAGTAAATAATTACTGAATTACTAAAACTGAACTGTTGAAGTCACAAGCATATTTTCTTTGAACTGTTCCTTTCGCTGTATCAGTCAAAGAAGTAAACAAAGTGATCTTGTGATTTACCGGTATTCTGTCATTGCTAGAAAAAGATTTGTAACTCAATATCAAACTGATTTCGATATTGATGTCGTACTCTACGAAATTTGTTTGCTTTCTCTAACTTATTACTAACATTTGAAAATTCCCTGGTTAGTTATTAGGAACGAGACACCAGAGTAATTATAATTGAGACAGAAATATTCATATTAGTATCGAAAAAAATTGGAAATTGTATTGGTTTAACTATTTCTGTCTTTGATTGACCTAGAAAACTCGTATTACCTTCTTAACCAATCAGATGCAAAGTCAAACCCCTATGATGATTCCTTTGCTCTAATACGCCATTTTACAGTTCTGTACTTAGTTGCCAAGCCTTTGATTTGAAGTGAGGCTGAAGATGACCTTGTTGTAATAGAGACCAATATCTAGTTAGCATGATAACAAAGTAATTTACATCTGAAAAGCAGCAAGGTTTGTATCATAACAAGGTCAATCTTGGCCTCATTCTTGTTCAAAGGCTTAGCAACCAGGCATGCAATTTTACAATGGACTACCGTGTGACAAAAAAAACTAACACATTTGTGAAGGTAGTTGGGTCAGATTACAAGAGCACACCAAAGTGAGCTCGTTTCATACATAGAAACAACTCAAAACTGCTCAGGATGAGGTTTACGAAGTTAAAACTTACAGGACAAATATTAAGAATCCTACCCTAAATTCCTCAACTCATAGTCCACAGATTCAAGAAAAGCAACGACCTTCAGTAAAAAAAAGGCTGCGTATTTCACCGACATCATTGCATCGTGAACCATAGTAACATGTTTAAAAATAAATCAGCTTCTAGAGCCTGAGAATAAAATAGCCATTCTATCAATGCCCTAGAGATGATTTCAAATTAGGATTAGTACACTGCTAAACTCTGTACAAAATTTCACGCGTCGGAGCCTCCACTTCCAGAGAAGACTGAGTTAAGCCGATATGTTTTCTCTTGAAGTGTTCACATAACTTGATTCACCTTTGTAATCCTCTGGGGTCAAATAATCCTGGAAAGAAACACAGATGTAACGAGAGACATGAGTTTTTAAAGTACGAAACTCTCTTTCCTTGTTTCAATAGCGACGGTTATTAAGATTGTTGAGTGGGCAGAATGAAATTCTAAAGTAAGCGATCGGGAACGAGGTTTGAACTGTGCTTTGCAATTATTGCACTACTTCTTGTTGATAATGTTGATGACGCCTTCACCAAAACGATTTGTCATTGGGAAGAATAGGCCTTAAATATAGTGACTCTGGCTGGTGTCCACATAACCCTTTACATCAGTATGTATATTCTCCATACTGTACTGCACATTTCCTAAGTTGCTGACAAGGAGAATTTGTTTAACAATCAAGAGCTTGGTAAGTTGGTGATCATTTCCTTTATTCTCATGACCTTTCTGTTTGATTCAGAGGTGACACTGTAAGGAAAAATGAGACGCAAGTCAAACTTACTGATTGTTGATTGAGCATTCGGTGAAGTTCATCACTCAGGTCCTCAAACTTTGGCCTCGCCTTAGGATTTGCATTCCAGCAACGAAGCATTATTGCATATCTGAAGATTAAAAGAGATTTAACATGGTAAGAACTCCGAAATGACTAATCTTGTACTCGGAGCTGGCGCGTGGTTGGTCAGTGGCATGTTTCCTTGACCGTTTGGTGGTACCCATTTATACTCCTAGCGGGGGTGGAGAGAGGCGCTAATTTTCTTCCCCAAGAACACAACAAAATGACTCTGTGGCTGGGCAGCTTGAGAACTAAATCGTAATGCATCTGATTGATAGAGGGCAGCAGGGTCGAGAGGGTGGTACAACTTTTCTTAAACCACAATAAGCAACGGAGCTCAGTCAAGTAGATCCAATGTAACCCCAGATTAATTTCGTCACCCAGTTAAAATTTCCCCCAACTCGACAAACACTATACAACCGAATATTAATTACCAAGGACAGAGACGAGAACAGAGAGCTCTTCACACTCTAGTTCTATTGAACGCCTCATGATTACATTTTACTTACAGCCAGTCAGTGCAATAACGGGGTTTATCCAAACGATGACCCGCTTTAAGCTTCGGCAGCAGTTCGCTCGAGGCCACACCAGCATACGGAGCACAACCTGTGAGTAAGAACACAGAAGTATTATGTGAGTTGAGCCTTTGCATACCCCTAGTTTTTTATTATGGGTAAGATTTAAGTCAAACGACTGCTGACACGAGCAACGTTAGGGTTTGTAAGCGGCTCATCATCAGCAGTCCGTGTCAAACTTCTTCATATATAGTCATTCTTGTTCCTACTTGGTTTATTAGTCTCTTCTGTGATTTCTATCTTATCGAACCAATATTTTGTAGTCATTTTCAATCCGTCTTAAACTTCCCCATCCTTAACCATCGTTGCACTTGCCTGTCTAGTCGGACTTATATTTTTGGTCTCCACCAACTTAAAGGCGGCTCTGCACGCAGCAAAAAGTGGCTTAGAATATCAAGTGTCATTGACGCTACGCGCTCAAAGCAACAGGAAAGGGGGGGGAAGTCTCACCTCCAGTTTCAATTTCCCATAGTAGGACACCAAATGACCATCTGTGAAGAAAAAACGAAATTGGTAACATTTAACATTAAAACAATGTTGTTTCTAGGATAAAGTATGGCAAACATTTCTAGAGTCTTTCTAAACAACTTTCTTGTCAAAGCTAGGGGGTTCTTATACAAACGTTTTAGTGGCCTTTGGGGACGGATAAGGTCGTTTTATCATGATAAATTATCAGTTTTTCTTGTCAACAATAGGAAGGGGGTCACATAAATCTTAGGAACCTCTCCCCCTTTCTTCCCCCCCCCCCACCCCCCTTTTATAGCGCTTTAGACTTACACGTCACTTTGACTAGTGTAAATTCCTTGCTCCAGTGATTCAACCGCCATCCATTTAGCTGGAAGTTTCCCCTGTGAAAAGAAAAAGAATTAAAACTTTTAATCATTAGTTTGACTTCAAAAGGGCTGTTAGGATTGGTATGTATCTCAGATTGTTTAATCTCCAATTTCCTTGTAATTTGATAACTTAGATGTTCTTAGACACACTTATCTCACGTCCATGGAAACTTTTTTGCGTGCGTAAGTTTGTATTTTTATCCGTTAAGGTTCTTTCATTCGATTTGCATTTTAGCGATCAGTATCGCCCAGTAAGAAAGAATACAGCAGTTTACAACTGAGAGTCGAACTTAAAAACGGGAGTGCACTGGTTCTAGCTTAACTATGCTCTGTGATTGGTAAAGAAAACTCGAACCACTCTCTTAACCAATCAAATTCAAAACTGACACCCTCGCGTCTTCTCATGCCTAAAGTACTCTTAAGTTTGAGTTCCCATTAACTCTTTCAAATGTTTCCTTTTGTATAATTGGCCGTTGTTAGAACTTAAGTTTTAGCTTTGCGAATCTCATTGAAGAGCAATATAGATGATCTCCTCACCCCGGTTTTCTTCTCATACACATTGTCCGTGTAGATGTCACGTGAGAGACCAAAATCCGACACTTTGGCCACCATTCCTTCTCCAAGGAGAACATTTCTCGCCGCCAGATCCCTGTGTGCACACTGAAAAACAAAACTCACCAATCAAGTTCCAGCACAAGTATGTTGAAAGCGACTCTCCTTAGCCCTGGCTGTCCCCTTCCTCAGCCCTTCCCTACCCCTGCCTTTTCCCTGTCTTATTCCTTCCTTGCCACTGGCTTTCCCCTTCCTAAGCCCTTCCCTACCTCTGCCTTCCCCTTCCCCACCCCTGCCTTTCCCCAACCTTACCCCTTCTTACTACTGGCTTTCCCCTTCCTCAGCCCCTACATACTGCTGTATTTCCCCTTCCTAACCCCTGTCTTTCCTCCTGCTTACCTCGTCCCTTCCCTACCGCTGTCTTTCCTCCTGCTTACCTCTCCCCCCTTCCCTTCTCTTAACCCAGCAGGAATCCTTCCCACTAATTTGTTTGACAATTTGTCACTCTTGATTACTTAATTTTCTGCTTAAATTTCATAAATGATGGCGGACTGAAGATTGCTTTAACCTCAGTCATCAACCTTACTTGAGACAAGCTTCAGGAATATCTCTCCCTCTCGTCATATGTGATCACATTTCCAAGGGGGAGAATTTATTTTTCTATCACTGTTTTTGCCCGATGCTTACATACCTTCATAGCAGCAAGATGTTTCATCCCGTCGCTCACTTCGCACGCTATCCTCAGTCTTTCCGTGAAGCTTATCTCTAAAGTATACTCGTTCATGTCATCGTAATTTTGCTTTCGGCGATCCCGAAGATGACGTAACAGGTTCCCGTGTTCGGCAAATTCTACGACAACCAACAAAGGTCCTAAAAGGCAAATGATCGGAAATTTAGTCTTTACGCACCTAAAAGTAACTAAAAAGTAAGTGTAGAAGGGGTTAGCCTACCTGCAACTGAGCATGCGCCGATAAGATTAACCAAATTGGGGTGGTTTCCTACTGACGTCATAATTTCCAATTCATTCAACAAATCTTTGAGGTCACTTTCTGTGGCAGTACCTGAAATTTGGGTGAAGACAACAAATGATTACACAATGCAACATTTCTAGTCAGAACAAACGAAGTAACAACTGAAGCTTCCGCAGATGCAAAATGAATGCGGGTTTGGAGATGTGTGGCAGTGATTTGTTTCAGAAGCAGAATCCAAAAAGGGGTTCTTTCCAGACTCAGCGCGTATTGTACCGCGAGCGGAAAAAAAATTATCATACAATGTAATGTTTTCATTCGAATGGCGTAAGAGGGCTTAACAAAACCTATTGCATTACTGTGAAACAATTGTGAGTTCAAGAAAGGAGGAAACAGTTGAACTTCAAGCCGTCGGTTTTCAGGCCATTTTACACTTAAAACAAAAAGTTTACGTTTACTGTTGTCAAGAGACTTGAGCTATTTTTCTGCAACTTTGAGGAATTAAGAAATGTGACGAAAATCAGCCTTCATTTTTGCAGTTCGTCTTGGCTGATTATTTAACGCTTTAATACCAAATGTGATCAAAATGAAACTTCTTCCCATAATATCCATACACCATCCAGCAAACGTGTAATGAGAATACTCAAACTTATCAGGTAGAAGTTATCTTAATCTAATACCAACCTCTCGTGACTATTTTACAAAGAAATAAGTGGCAGCTAGAGGGGAGAATTTATAATCTGGTCTTGGAAGTTTAAGGGGTTAACTCGCTACTATCTCATATCTTATTTATCACCTCAAACGCTCTCGGACCATCATTCTGTTTAAGGGGAATGGATTTTTCGAGACCTTTCGTAAAGTGTAATCATATCACAATTTACTGCCTTAAACTACTTGTCTGTTGGGAATTGAAAATGCGGGGTATATCTTCTATATTGACATGGTGAACGCCTTGATCGGGGAAGAAAACTGATTCAAGGATAGAAATATCATACGTTTTAACTTTTTGACAGCACATGTTATAACATTCCCGTCATCTTCAGTCAACTCTCCTTTTACCACTGTTCCAAACTCGCCTTCTCCAAGAATTTTGCCAAGAATGATACGGTCACGTGGTATTTCACGCCATGAAAACGAGGCTTGGATATCGATTGGTGTGCTTGTGTTGTTCGGTTCTCCACCAGGGACGAGAGCATAGCGATCTCTACCAAAAGTGGAAGTCGTAAATCGTCCATTCTCAGCTTCAGAATGATTTTGCTAAGGTGAAAAAAATTATTATAAAGAATAATTTGAACAAGTTTTAGATGCAAAAATCGGTTCAATGTCAAGTGTCTGAGCAATTGCGCATCTACCCCTGCCCTAACCCAACATTAACCCTAACTTTTTGTCAGTTTACTGTTAATGGGTTAGAGGAGGGGTAGGCGCGCAACTGCTCAGACACTGACATTGATCAAAAAAAGTATCTTGAAGAGACCAAAGAGGCGAAACCATTATTCTGGCTTTTTAGATGGTCTGCACAGCATGAGTATGTAATTAAAATTCCGATGGAGTGTTTCAGCCGCAGTTTTGGATCAATAACGTCGAGGAAAGCTTGGAGTAAGTAAAAGAGGTGGACAAGGGAGGTGAGGATGAGATTGACGAGCAAGAAATTGGGAAGGGAAGCTAAAACACTTAAGTCTTTTAGCAAGAGAGGTCAATCCCTCACACACCCACTCCTTTAAAACAAGGGGGGATGAGTGAGGGGAGCAGAGGAGAGGAGAGGGAAGATGTCTGCGCTATAACACCCTCGATGACAGAGCCATTGAACTCAATCACCACTCAAATTTTAACTGATCTTTGGTGCTTGACAAGATTCTCTTGAACCGGAAATAAATCTTCAAAATTTATCTTGTAAGACTGGAAAACACTAAAGAGGTAACTGTACACCAGGATGAACATGAATAAAAGATATAACCAGCAACAAACTAAAAAAATATAGCGTTAAATTTTCGCGATGTACAAACTATAAGAACAATAAATTGATCCCATAAAAAGGTTTTAAAGTGTCAGTGTAGATGAATCATTTACACATACTGTGCTTAACTGACCGTATCTAGTGTTACAGGATTCATTGGTACTTGTTCTCCATCGTTTAAATATCCTGAGTTTTGTCGTTTCTTTTTCCATCTTCTGTAGACAATTACTACCACAATTGCCAGTATTATAATCAGTAACAACGAGATCACAATGGGTAATACTAATTCGGCGACATTTTTTCCTGTATGAAGAAAATAAAAGGAAATAAATTAGATGTTATTTTTCAGATGATTATGATAGACATGCGTCGAAAGGACGGCTAGGAGGGGGGGTGAGTCATTCGGCCCATGGGACCTCTCCCCTTGAAGGTAAAAAATATAGCATCCTCGTATTCTCTTCCGTTACGATGTTGGTATAGCACCCCGTTACCTTACGTTGTGAATGGTATGTGATTAACTCTCTACCCTCTAACATCACTTGGTATATTCTCCAAACTGTGCTCTACACAGTTCCTATGTGACCGACAAGGAGAATTCGTTCAACAATCAAGTGCTTTTTCATTACTGATAATTTCCGTTATTTCATGACCTTAGTATGTGATTTAAGGGTGATATTGTACGGAAAAATTAAAGACTAGTCACTCTTAGGAGTCAAAGGTTTCAATTGCATCTCTCTGCAGTTCCTCTAATAGACGAGACAATGATGATTAAAATGGTTAAAATTTAAGAAAATGTACGTGGGATGTAAACGAAGACGTGTTTCTTGACGTATTTGCAATTGATGTGAATGGAAGATTTCTCTTGATCTGTCGCTTATGAAACAGATAGAAGTACCAATACCTTAACCCTTTAAACCCTGAGGAAGACTAGCATCTAAACTCTCCTTACAATATCACCCCTGAATCAAATATGAAAGTCATGAGAATTGAGGAGATGATCACCAACTAAAAGAAGCTCTTGATTGTGAAACAAATTCTCCTTGTCAGCCTCTTTGGAAATGTATCGAGAACAGTATGGAGAATATGCATGCTGATGTAAGGGTGTAAAGGGTTAACGAGACTCCTAGAACTCACAAAACAGCCGAAATGACCAACCTTTTTTAGTTTTGAGTTCTCCATTAGTACTCGGTTCCCCCATACCGTACTCGTTTTTTGATTTCAACCTCACGAAGTAAGCAGTATCGGGATCGAGGTTGGTTATCCTGTGGTTTTCGCCCGGAGTGGATGTAAAATGGAGCCACGTGTTTGTTCCAAATTGTCTGATTTGTAGCGAGTATCCATTAATAGAGTACATTTGATAAAGTTCGGGATGCGACCAGGTTATGACGGCTTCAGTTCGTTCAACATCACTCGCTCGAACATTTTCGGGTGGTGGAGGAAGTTCTGAAAAGGAGAATGGAAATGGAAAATAATAAATGAGAAATGGTAAATAGTAGATGGGAAATGGAAAATAAAAAATGGAAAATGGAAAATGAGATGATGCAGCAAGGGAGGATGAAAAAGGATGGAATCGAGAAAAAAGGAAGAAAACAGGGAAATAGTTACAAACCTCGTAACTCAACCTTTTTCTTCACTTTAAGACTGCCTATCTGACCAGTTTGCACACTGGCACTGAGAGTTTTACCAACTTTGTTAGCAACAACCGTTGTCTTTTTTTCCTCAGGTTTCACAATCACAACAACACGGAAACGTACTTTCACGCTGCCATTCCTGTAACGAAGTAACGTCCAAAGTTCAAACCAGTAATTCTCCTTACTGTCTGCCAAATGATTCTCATTATGTTAGTTTAAAGAATTTGGTGTCAGATCAATTAGTAATCCCATAATTGATATTTCTCTTTAATCTCATCACTTGTATGCATGATATTGCATAGATATAGTAAGGAGAAATTCTGTCTTGGTCACTCACGGGAGTTAAAGAGTTCTTAATAGGGTTTTGACTGAAAAGTTGTCTCCGAGTTTTGCTTAGACGCCTCTCATCCTAGCGCGAAACGGTAGAACAAACTGACCTGTTTCAACCCTTCAACTACCAAGATCTTAATGTCAACTCTCCCCTCTAGCTGCTACACATTTCCTTGTAAATTAGTTATACGAATTTGGTGTTAGATCAAGAT